CGCGCTAATGATGTTACTTGTGGTGTTGATGAAAGTACATTACACGTTATTGATACAACTATTGGCACAAATGAATGTACATTTTCTCTTAATGAACAGCAAAAGGTGTAATACAATCCAGCCAACCAAGAATAGACATGGCTAGAAACACGGGGAAGTATGAATAGCCATGACGTCAACTCTGTAAGGACCCTGAAGGGGGAGGGGGGGGGAGGGGGGGGGGACCTCACTATAGAATACGTCACCGTTGTTACCGGCCCGGAAAGTAGGGTCTGGGGGAGAGCACCGGTTCGCACCGGTGGCACCGGATGCAGAACCGCCATTTCATATCTACATTTGCTGAATTTTGTGCCTGTTCGGTGGAAAATAGCGTTTTTCAGGTTAAAACACTTTCTACTATTTTCAATGGGAAGGAATGAAAATAAGCCAATAAATTCTTTGTTGGGAATAAATTTGCTTTATTTGGTTTGGTATTCGCCATCTTGGATCTGCCATCTTAGGCGCCATCTTGATTTTCTTTAAATTTAATTTCTTCAGTAAATAGCATAAACCCCTGAAGCAAATAGATTAAAATGGGCTATTTTTCTACAGAAGAATGTTTTAATTTATAACCCAAAACCACTAGGTAGTAATGTAATTCGATTAAAAAAATTACCGGTACTTCATGTCTTCATCAAATCACCATAAAATACCCTTAATTCACAAAAGTTGCATCTGATTTGATAAGATATTGTGAATTAAGGGTAAAACTACAATTGCAATAAGAAAACCTGGAAATTATATTGAATAAACTAAAATCAGTGAATTTTGCAAAACGTACCTGTCACACCATGGGAACATGAAATTTCGTGAAAAAGACTCACCAAAATTGCTCCCAGATAAATTTTACATTTTAGGAGAAGTCACCAAGTTTGGTGATTTTTGCTTCAACTGTTCGAAAGTTATACGACGTGAAAGTAGGAGGCGGCTTCAATACCACCCTCCCCGCTGTGAATAGGGTTAAAGAAAAAATTAAACTTGTATTTAAGAATCCTATGTTTTTGTCCAATCTAGACAAAGCGCGAACACTTTCCTTAAGTATCAAATATTTTATGTTAGTTTTCTAGACCACGAAGAGCTAAACTTGGGCTTGCCAAGAACAATCGACTGAAGTATCGTTGATGAATCCACACATTGCCCTGACAGAAGCTTATTTCTTAGTAAAATTATCCAGCCCAACCAACGCACGAGTAATTTTTAGCCTAGCTAGCAATCTGTTGGGACCATGCAATAGATCGAGATGGACTCCCTTAGTAATTTCCCCCCTCACTTTGAAATATAAACTTGTATGCCAAAAGCTGTGTAAAAATAAATATAAAGATATATATGCGATTTTTTTTATAAACAAGATAAAATGTAAAATGTTTCCATAAATGAATGAACTTCAACGTTGAGGTCTTAATTTTTTTCTTCTTAAAATTGGTGGTCTCTATTCCCAAACGCAGAATTTAAGGTCAACTAGCGCAACATCGTGCATTCAAAAGAACTACTTATTAGTCGTAATAAAACGCGGGCGGTATAAAAACTAACTCGTGATAATCAGATTTCATAGTTTACACAAATCCCAGCCATATACTGTACCCTGTGGCCAAAAACAATATTTGTTTGTTTTGTTTCCAATTTCTTATTACTGGTTATATAAAGCTTTATTTTATGGGGGTTTATTAGAGAATACAAGCTAGGAATTATATGCCTGGAGAATTTCCCAAAAGAAGAAAAAGAACGAAAAAATATGTAGCTCTTGAATTTTATGAGCGTTACGAAGTCTCTGTTTCCGGCCAATAAATATAGCAAAATAGATTTTTAAGTTTTGATTATTTAGGTAATTATTATTCATGATTGCCTCTCTGAAAAAGATGATCAAATTACACATTTTCATATGTTCAAGTTTTTATTTTTGCTGCAATTACATTAGTCTACGACAAGAATAATACCCTGTGCTAAGGGACATCTAGGAGCAACTAGGGGAGCAGCATACGATGCTGGTGTAAAGATGCTTAGTAAGCGTTGAACAGCTCATGAGTTTACCCTGAAAATCGAGCTTGCATGAAACGTAATAAACGCAGCGACTGGTACGAATCTTGCATGAGAACACCCATTTATTAGGGTTGCACGCGGGCACATAGTTGTTGCATAGTGGAAAGTCCCTGATGACACGCCTTGTTCTACCTGTTGAAAATAGTTGATTAAGTACACAAATGGTAATCCCATAATTGTCCAAAATTTCACCAAAAATCGGTACGTACACCAAGGAAAACTCCAAAGAAAATGTTTAATAAACTCAATCTGTTTATTTTGGGAGTGGAAGCCGTTTTTTTGGAAAAGAATGACATGTTAATATTACTTTATGAAAGGTGCATATTTCAAAGTTATTCTCTTCCAACTTGCTACACTAGTTTTACTCATTTAGTTTGATAGTCGTAGCGAAGATGAAAATTAGAAAATAACCTGCGAGAACACTTACCAGAAGGCGCATTTCCCTGGTCTCCAGCCACTACAAAGACTGAATCAGCACCAACTCTCCATTGCTGGATGGTCTTTTCAATCTTGTGTGACGGCGGCCTATGAGCCAACTATATAGGACAACATAAGACATTTCTTTTATCTTGACTGATTATGTATTTTCATTTTATTATATAGAATTTGTTGGGATAGACTAAAGTGTTAAAATTTAATTTAAACAAGTTACGCCGTATTTCACGCCAAAATCGTTAGTACAGTATGGTAGAGGTCACGGAACTATCTTCTCTTAACTTTATTTCATTTTGACTAGATGTTACCTTATTAGCGGAGCTCCTGCGCAGGCCGAAGGCCGAAGGCCCCCGCGAGCGGAGCACCATAAGGAAAAATGGTAAACCATCGAGTTGATTTTTCATGGCTTGCCTGACGTCACTTCAGTGCGTACGTACGAACGTCCGTGTACACAACACAGAAATCCCGCTTGAATTCACAGCAAAGCTACTCGGAAATGCACAGAAAAACATTTACAAATGCAAATTTACGGGGAAAAAATTATTTTTTGTATTTTGCATTGCATCTTTCGTTATTTTAATTTTTTTTCTCAGTTGCTATTGTCAAGCTCAACTGAATATATCTTTTTTTCCCAAAACTTTTATCGTTCGTGATTTCCGTATCTTTCTTACTACGGTAGCCGAGAGCGGACATAAAAAAGTCAACATCAAAAATGTCAAAAGTTCAAAAGTCAAAGTGATTTAGGGCCATGTTACAAAGTGAGTTTGTCTTTTTAATCAATTTCCTCTTGTTATTTTGTCACAAGACATTTTGACATTTCGTCTCAAGCGACTATTTCTTGTCCAGCATTTTGTCATGAAAGACTTTCGCTTTTGACATTTCTCCGTTTGGCCTCCGACATTTTGTTTTCAGGCGATTTGTCAAACGACCAAAAGCAAAACAGCGAAAAGTCAAACTCAGATTGAAAGCTCCCAGGCGTTCCGCTTAATAAACAAAGATAACCCACGCTATATAGTTCGCGTATACGAGCTTGACAGAACTCGAAAGAACTCATCTGCCAAAACACAAAGATGTACATTGATCAAGAAACTTGTAAACAACCATATTAGGATAATTAATTTACTACATGTTTTTGTAACTTTATTTCCAATATTATTTGTTTTAACTTGATAGTTGACAATGGGAGAAGACTCTGTGAAATCCTCATGCGAGTCGCTCATTTGAAGAACTACCATACCAGTCCAAACACTCACTTTGCGTTGCTGTTAGAATATTAATGTTCGATGTCTATAAAATATTGATAATCATCCTTAATGCCTTGAAGTCCAATGGAAAATTTAGATTAATTTTAATTGAGAGTATTTTTTAGTAACTTTGCTCGAATATATCCAATTGATGCCGGATGTAAGTTATCGGACATGGCACGGGATGAATAAAAAATTCTGGAGGAGTTTTATTCTCTCGCACAAAGAAATCCCATATATATATTTTTTCGATTGACTGCTACCTTCCACGTTTGGAACGCTGGTGCATAAACGTGTTTTATCCGATTGCAAATCTT